TCCCGTCGTTCGACGTGCCACAGTTTCTGGGGGACGGCTGCTAGGGTAACTGCAGTGTATTCTATGGAATACATATGTTTTGAAGCATATCGTCTAGATGGGCGGACTGAAGTAAGTGAGGAGGTGCCCCTCTCTGCGGGAGTTCCGAAACTGAGGGGATCTATAGTGAGGGATAGGCTAAGAGTTCAGGGGAATCTCCTCCCACCCCTTTCCCCTTAAGCAGTGCGAACGCTGGAGAGGAGGTCGCTGGAACTCCCGCGGAGACGGGCACCCCATCACTTACTTATTTCCACTTGCTAAAGTGCAAAGAGGTGGGAGGAGCTTCCCTTTTTAAGCTGCCACTGATTATAGTAACGTTGGTATCTGCGTTGTCGTGACGTCCTAACCTGTGATCTACTTACAAATTGTTGCGGGCAACAAGGTCGATGGTGCTTGTAAAAATTCGGCAGTGGAAGTTTGCAGTCACCACGTTCTTAAACCAGCAACTATTGAAGTTAACAGTCATATATTACTCTTACTTTTGCCGATGAAAAACCGCTAAAGACGTCATTATGAGCGTCTGGCCAATCGATGAAGGTTCACCACAACGATGCTTCGGGCCGCGCTTGTCTCCCATAGGTGGTGTTGGTAGAGCGGCGCGCTTAAGAAGAACGCGGCTGCCCGTCCTAAATCATCCCCGGATGGTCGTTCCGCCGTGGCTCCGCCAGAATGACCCCAACGCGAAAACACCCTTCGTGGTATCCGCGGCTTATGCGCAGCCTCGGCGGTTGCCGCCTCCTCGTGCGTGGCGAGTTAGAGCCCTCGAGCGCGCGCTCTTGGCTATTTCCGGAGCTGTCTTTTCTTCTCGCCAACGCCCGGGGTCTTAACTCTAGACGCCCGCGACGGCAACAAAGCCACGGGTTGCGAGCCGCGAAGCCAAGAGCCCGACGAGGGCACGGGCTTCTCCGGGCTTCCTTTTTGCCCGGCGGCCCTCGCCGACAGCGAGGCGCCGAGACAGCGGAGACGTGGACCTGTCTTCCGGGGGCGAGTCATCACGACGCCGACGGTTGCGCGCTTTTTCTTCGGAGACGCGTCCCTTCGAAGCATCCTATATACCACCTGTAACGAACGCCGTCTTGGAGACCGACAGGCGTCCAAGCGACCTTCCAAGAAGCCAGCAGACGTGGGAAAACGTCCAGGCATTTCCACGTTCCAAGAACCCATTGGACTCCCGAAAGCCCAAGGACAAGCGGCGGCGGCGAGACGAGAGTGCTGGACAGCGTCCTTTCAAGAGGCCCGCCGACGTGGGAAGAAGACCAGCCACTCGGCCTTCCAGGAATCCCACAGTGGCCCACGAGGTCAATGCATCCTTTCCCGACCTTCCCAGGTGGACCCCACCCGTCGGGCGCCCCGCACCCAATTACCTTCCCTTCGGAAGAGGAAGCCGCTGCAGCAGCAATCATGGATGCGCGCCGCGCCGACCCCGCCGACCCCTCGGGGGACAAGCGGACACGTCTTTGGGACAGCTAATCTGCATGGTGTTGATGGCGTCTGTGGGCGGAGACGAGGGTGTGTCGCTGTGTGTGGAGGAGGAGCTGACATAGCTAGCTGAAATCCCTACGTGGGGAATGTAGGGAAGAGCGTCCCGTTAAAAGAAGCGGACTTCTTCGGGACTCCTGTCTTCTGATGCTGCTTTTCGACCCTGTACAAATGTAAAGTAAACCCGTTGTCAAAAGAGGCCCTGCTTCCGAGCTCCTTCTGCCTGATGTCCTGGTTGGCGCCTGGCTCCAGCGGAGCCCGACAGCAAGGACGACCCCGGAGCTGTTACAACTGGTGGCAGCGGTGGGATCGAGTTCAACGACCAGTGAGCGGCGGCACCGAAAGATTTCATGGACCGTGATCCGAGTCTGGTGAGTGACGGCATCCTTTCTCTTTCGCCAGGCCTGTAAAATAGAGTTGAGAATTTTGCAGGGGCGTGGGGACTACCTTGGGAGTTTGGAAGTTTTGAAGTTGGTACTTCTTGGTAGTGGAGCAAAGTTTGCCGCCCAGATAGGTCGCGGACATGGAGCTGCAGCGCTTGCTGAAATCGGAGTTGCTCGACTTGTGTGAAGAGCTTGGGGTTGAGCCGGGCACATCAATGAAAAAAATGGAGCTCGTTAAGGCTATCCAGGAAGAGGGTCTTGACAACGATGAAATTGAGGTAATGTGGAAACGAATCAAAAACCGAAACGAAGACGATGCAAAATTTAAAGAATTGGAACTTGAAAAACTTCGTCTAGAGGTGGAACTGAGGAAGACGAACGGAGGACCAGAGATGGAGGTAGCAGGCAGCCGAAATCTCTATGACATGTCGAAGCTGATACAACCATTTAAGGTAGGACAGGACATGGGTCTCTACCTTGTAAACTTCGAGAGGGCATGTGAAAGGGCCCGTTTTAACCGGGACTCGTGGCCCAGAAGGTTGCTGGGTGTACTGCCCTGCGAGGCAGCCGGGGTAATCGCCAGGCTAACTGCGGAAGAGGCGGACGATTACGAGTGTGTGAAGGGCTGTTTGCTCAAAAAGTACCGCCTGTCGGCGGAAGCGTTCCGACAGAAGTTCCGAAGCGTGAGCAAAAAGCCAGAGGCTAGCTACGCGGAGTTCGCGTACGAACTGAGGTCGTATCTTATCGAATGGATGAAGGTAGCCAAGTCGTATGACGACAAAGAAAGGATTCTGGAGGTGGTCGCGCTGGAACAGTTTTATAAGACACTAAGTGAACCCATGCGGACTTGGATTCAAGACAAAACAGATGTAGACTCCGTCTACAAGGCCGCGGATTTCGCGGACGAGTATAGCTCGCGCAGAAACAACAAAGAAGGAACGGGGAAAACCTTCGAAAAGACAAACTGGGACGAGCGACGCGGCAAGGGATGGAAAGGGCGAGAGCCTACGGGAAGGAATACTGAGGAAAATCGGGGGGATGAGGAAACGAAAGCATCCCAGGGCAGTGACGCGGACGATAGGCAAAAGAAGAAAGCATTCGAGGCAAGGAAGCCTATAACGTGCTTCAATTGCCATGAGACAGGGCACATTGCCGCAAGATGCACTAAACCAAGGGTGGTTTTCGCCTGCGCTAGTCACTGCGCGGAAAATGATGAGCTCCTGAGCCCGTACCTGTTCGACATGACGGTAAACGGGAAGGCATGCCGCGTGTTGCGTGACAGTGGAGCCACCATTGACCTTGTTCACCCTACTTATGTCACCGAAGCCAACTACAATGGAAAGTGTAGTTGGATCAAGTCGGTGTTAGACAAAGGGAGCGTGTGTCTTCCCGTGGCGGATGTCCTCGTTTCTGGTCCGTTCGGAGAGGCTCGCACTGAGGCGGCGGTTTCGGACAAACTGCCGCCGCAGTACCGTTACCTGTTTTCTAACCGAACAGAGAAGATTCTAAGAGAGCAGGGCAAAAGCCTCGGGGAGGGTCTCGTTCAGGCAGTCATAAGAGCTAAAACTCACGAGATGTCCACGCGGCTTGCTTATGACGATTCTAGCCCGGGAAATCTAAAAGACTCTCCAGTAAGGGTTTTAGAGCAGAGTAGCCCTAAAGAGACGAGGAAAGGGTTAGAAAGCGAGAAAAGCTCCGCGTTAGACAGGGAAACCCCCGACGAGCAGCTGACGCAGACAGATGGGGTGCTATTAGCCCCTACCTCAAAAGGCTTCGAACAGCTCGTCTCCGAAACAAAGGTAGTGCTCATCGAAGAGCAGAGGGCCGATCCCAGTCTGACCAAGCTTTGGGAAACTTGCAAGGATGGCGTGGCGCGAAAAAACGTCACCTTTCCTGTCCACGAGGACGTACTGTACTTTGCCAAGTTAATTTTTGTGATTGCGGGCCTGGTGATTGCGGAGAGGGTGGCGTCGCTTACTGGATTTGTGTGTTGCGGTCCGTGTTTCTTTGGGGTGTTGGCCATTCTCGACGACCTCAAAGCTGATCTCTTCAGGAGAGCAGCGGAAACTCCTCCCCTTCAGAGATCTTCCCGTCCGTGGAGGAGCTGTAACGAACGCCGTCTTGGAGACCGACAGGCGTCCAAGCGACCTTCCAAGAAGCCAGCAGACGTGGGAAAACGTCCAGGCATTTCCACGTTCCAAGAACCCATTGGACTCCCGAAAGCCCAAGGACAAGCGGCGGCGGCGAGACGAGAGTGCTGGACAGCGTCCTTTCAAGAGGCCCGCCGACGTGGGAAGAAGACCAGCCACTCGGCCTTCCAGGAATCCCACAGTGGCCCACGAGGTCAATGCATCCTTTCCCGACCTTCCCAGGTGGACCCCACCCGTCGGGCGCCCCGCACCCAATTACCTTCCCTTCGGAAGAGGAAGCCGCTGCAGCAGCAATCATGGATGCGCGCCGCGCCGACCCCGCCGACCCCTCGGGGGACAAGCGGACACGTCTTTGGGACAGCTAATCTGCATGGTGTTGATGGCGTCTGTGGGCGGAGACGAGGGTGTGTCGCTGTGTGTGGAGGAGGAGCTGACATAGCTAGCTGAAATCCCTACGTGGGGAATGTAGGGAAGAGCGTCCCGTTAAAAGAAGCGGACTTCTTCGGGACTCCTGTCTTCTGATGCTGCTTTTCGACCCTGTACAAATGTAAAGTAAACCCGTTGTCAAAAGAGGCCCTGCTTCCGAGCTCCTTCTGCCTGATGTCCTGGTTGGCGCCTGGCTCCAGCGGAGCCCGACAGCAAGGACGACCCCGGAGTTGTTACACACCGTGATAGCGCTTCGGTCTCGGCTGACTCCGATTTCCTGCCACAGTCCAAGGCCACTAAGCATGTTCAAAGTGCTCTTGCTTGATACATAGGCGTGCTTAGAACACGTCTAAAGACAGTTCTTTTTTTTTTTGTTTTTGTACGAGCAATGTAACGCGGCCATTGTATACGAGGAAGAAACGGGCCTCGGACAGTGTCAGCAGGAGACCGTCGTTTGTCCGCGCTGTGGACAGTCGTGTGATGTGAGCGTCGCGCGAGCCCAAAAGGTGGATGCGGAGCTCACCATCTGGAGCCGCTGCTGGACCAGGAGTTGGTCTCGGAGCTGCTGGAGCTGGTTGATCATGTCCGTGAGGCGGCGCTCGTTGTCCCGCAAGCTGCCGCCGGACAACGCCAGGCGGAGGGTGTCCCCTTCCAGCTGGAGCCCCGACGTCCGACGCCTCGGGTGCTCGCTCTCCGCCGCGCCGGAACTGCCGCGAGACCTGCACGGGAAACAACAACCTCAACGCCGTGCACCAAAAAAAAAAAAAGCAACAGGCGTGAGTTATTGGAAGGGGAGTGCATTGGTTGGAGGAAACAACTTCGGAGCAATTATTGCCAGATTGAAAGAGTGCAGAAGATACACACTGGCAAATTTTAAGATTAATTTTAAAGATAGGGTTATTGTAGCTCACCTGCGTAAACATTGAATAAGGCGACAGATAAATTATTTCGCGACCTAGAAATGGACAGATGGACCGATCTCGAATCGCGTGGATTTCTGGGATAATTGCAGCCAAACCGACGCCTTTTCTAGACACTTTCTTCGAGAAAATTGAAAAAAAAAAAAAAGTAATGAATGCTATGGACACCGAAACAATTACCGAAACGCTAGTGAAAACTCATGCTGACTGAATGAAGTGAAGAAGCAGTACGAACGGTTGTGCATGATTAGTTTAGGCGCGAAATAAAACGAAAACCAAGACGCATATTCAACTGAAATGAAGTTAGAATATAAAACCTTCGAGCTCCTAGATTGATGTTTTCTTCGAGTTATAAAGGTTGGTATGAAACTGTACTTCTTAATTTTGATTTTAAAAAATAAATGTTGTCAGTTGTTTATGAACATTAATGGCATTTGGTTCAAGAACTTCGTGACAATAAAATTCAGCACGTGAACGACAAATATGCTTTCTTAAACAAAAATTCCGCCGACCTCGTTAAGATTATTCCCGAGCTTGCATTACTGCTGCAGCTAAGTTACATTTAATTTAATGTATCGACTCTGCCAGCAAACGGATGAATTAAGGTAATAACAAACGCGAGTTTACATAAAAGAAAAATAAGCATATAGATCAGTTCATTAAAGTTTTCTCGCATTACTCGAGTATCCTCGATAAATTTCTAATGTAAAAAAATATCGTCAGAATATTGCGCATATACTAGCCGCAATTTTATTCAAAAACCGCGAGTAACGTTCCGCTCGGGACCAGTGCTTTCCCCTTAGCACGCGAGTGCGCTGCGATGAAGCAAGAGATGCAAAATCGCAATGCCTACTACGCGGTTGTCGCTTCACCGCAGTACACCGCTGCACGGCGGCAAGCGCACTCAACGAAGACAGCCAACCAGCCAGAACAAACGATGAACCTGAGAAATACCACGAGAATTCCGAGTTCTGTCAATGTTTAATAACAAAGACAAAATCGAATATAATGTTATTTGAGGCCGCAATCTTTGCAAATTCGTGTGAGCTTGCCGTAATGATCCGGCCGTGAACAAGTTCTGGCGCAATGTTGGCGCAAATGTATCGCAATTTGGTCAAATGTAGCAGGATGTAGCAGAGTACGCGTTTTGGCGCGGTTGGCGCAAATGGCGCAGCAATCGCATGAATGCAAACTATAGTCAGTGACAAGAGTGATGTTGCAGCGTTAGCAAACAACGCGTCCCGCGGCCCAGCAGAAAACGATGGTTGGAATGGTCTATATGAGAGGCGAACGAAACAAAAAAGAATGAAACGACAACGAAAGAACAATGGAGAAACACGACAAACAGGGGGAGAGAGGTCGTCGCTCCGAAGAGAACCACCAATGCGCTATCTCGGTCTTCCCTTTAATCTCTGCCCCAGAGCACGCCAGCGCGGACCCACCCGACGCGACCGAATCCCACCCTCGCATTGTCCACGTCCGACGAATCGAAACCTCCGCTAAGAAACCCTGCGCGCGCAGGCAGGCAGGCAGCCACGCGTCGCGACAATAGAAGCACACGCGAAACCATTGTTCCGAGACCGCCTTCCAGGGCGCGAAGGAAACGAAGCAACGCAAAAGCGGCGGCGAACGCCTCCTCCTGAGAAGCGGGCTCCGCCGCGCAGATCCTGCCCCTATTATTGGCAAGCGCCGCCCCGGCATTGTCCACGCGCGCGCGGGCGCGACCGACGCCGACGTTAGCGCTGGCTGGCGTAGCGTTACGTCAGCGAGGCGGCGGTCGGCGCCTGCGCGGAGGCGGTCGCACGGCGAGACAATGCCTCCCCGAACCGCCGCCGGAGACAACGGAGCCACCGCGGAGGCGGGCGTGGAGCGAGCAATTGCGCCCGCGCCCCTTGTGTTCGGGACGGTCGAGCGTCGACGCGCGCCGCCGGCGCGTTGCCGTCGGGAGCGTTCGTTCGACCATTTTCGGTTCTTGCCTCCGGTTTCCCATACACAAAGACGGTCTAGAGTAACGACATTTTAGCCATTTCTCTAAGGAATTTAGAAAACAGTCTGAGACCGAGCGAAACGATGTCGCCTGAGCATGCTGACACCGTAAAAATACCCCAGGCTGGCGATGGTACTGCACTGGCACAATGTCTCGTCTAGAACGGAGACACCTATCGGTGGTGACCAGCTCCACGCTATCTAAGCATATACACGCCACACAATTACTATACTCGTGGACTGCTTTATGTGGCATTTCCGACGAGCGGAAGAGGCCGCGTGCAGAGCCTTAATCTGCTCTCAAGCACGCGTCCCGCACCTTCGCTGCATGGCCAGAGAAACTGAGGGAGAGGAATAGTTCCCGAATTCTAATTACGTCACAGCGCCGAGCTCCAGCAGGAATGATTAGTAAGTAGAGGCAAAGCCAGCTAGCTGCCTTTGCCTCTACTCACCCTTCGAACGAGTTCGAAGTGTGAGTAGAGGCTTTACCTCTACCCACTAACCACTCCAGTTAGAGCTCGAAGATGGCACTCCCCCGCGCGCTTTCTTCTCCTCCTCTCCCTCAGTTTCTGTCTTCATAGCCGTTTGCCAAATGACTGATCAGATTCATACGCTTGTCAGGAGTCGATAGGCAGAATTAGTGAGTTTCCTCTCCCTTTACACCCCGAATTCCCTTTTCCCCTTCGCAACCGAATGATTTTTCTCGAGGGGTTGCGATGTAACCTTTTCGATCAGTAAATACGTTTTAACGATAAGACTGTTCGTTTTCCTTTAGAACGCTGCCTTCAGTCGGCGGACCGAGCGGAGGGTCCTTAAGAAACAAGGGCGCCCCCACCTGTGTTCGAAGGGCGCCCTGGCGGGTCCCTCGGCAAGCGTGGCGCTCGAGTGCATCTTGGAGGTGAGGCGCTTGAGCACGTCGTCCATGGACTTCTTGGGCCGCGGAGCCTCGGACGCCGCCGACGCCAGCGGCGGCGGAGTCGGACGCAGCGACGCGGGCGCGCACGGCGAGCAGGGCCCACCGGGGTACGCGTCGGAGTCCTCGGAGTCCGTGTGCCGAGACGTCAGGCCGCCCGGACAGCCCAGGTCGCGAGGGTGGCAGGCGCTCCTGCGACGCGGGCACAGAGACGTCCAGATCGGCCCGAACTGTGTACCGCCTGATGAGCCATTGAAGGCTTACAAGCGTATCCCGAGACCTCTAAACAATTGGCGCATTTTCATTCATTCATACTTTGTTTCACAACTACTTCATTTGATGGATGGACTGAACACTGGCAAGGTGGCAGAAGCCGCAATCTGATTCAAAAGGTTGAGCAGTATTCATCTATCCATCCATCCATTCATTTTCAAAATAAAGCCCTCGTGCAATAAAAAAAAATAGAGAGCCAATATCGTTAAAGTAACGATAAGGAAATACCTGCGTAAACGACAATTCTGTTTCTCTGTTTAATGGTGAATTTGAATTCTATCTGGCTTGTTATAGCAAGTCAAACTCTCTTGGAATTTTTTTTCGCACATACGGTTTTTGTTAGGCGTTGTAGGTCCAGTTACCACTCCACCGTCATCGTATCCCCTTTTAACCTCCACTGTCCTACGGTGCCGGCCACTCCGCCACACTCGGCATGGTCCAAACCAACCTTGGAACTATGCATAGTGCCTGGAACGCATCTCGGACTGGTGTGTTTACCGCGTCCAAAAAAGTAGTCCCTTGATTTCCGCCTCATGACGTCATAGAAGTGCCATGCTGTCGCCAGTCACGATCCTGGCGGCGTCCCAGCAGCGGTGCTGTATGTGGCAGACATCTACTCTGCTGCATGTCGCTCTCCAGTGTAGCAGTCCAGGGAAGCTTCGGCAGCCAGAAGTTGGGACGCCGTGATGACAGCGACACTCGCGTTCGGTTGTGGTACTCGCAGCTTTCTCGTTAGCATTTCTACAACCAACCGCCAGGATCGCGACATGCAGCAGCGTGACACTTCGGCTTCTGTTACGTCATTTGTTGCCACTTCGGGACCTTTTTTTTATGTAGGGGTAGCATAGGACGGCTAAACACACCAGTCGAAGACGCGCTCCACGCACCATACATAGAACATCCACATCTTCCTTCGGGCAAACACGAGGTCCTCACCCGTTGGGGCTGTGGGCGAGGGCGTCGGAACCGAGACTGTCCGACCTGCCGTCGTCGTCGTCGCGGTCCTCGACGTCCTCGTCCTCGACGTCGTCCTCCTCCATCAGGGTGTCCGGGGGCCTCATGAGCGACCCAAGCAGGCCCCCGTCCCCCGAGACCCGCAGCGACGGCGACAGCAGCGGGGCCCGCTGGTCGTCGTCGTCTTCGTCCTCGTCCTCCTCGTCATCCTGGTGGCCGTCCTCCTGGTAGTCCTCGGTCCGCAGCTCGTCCGTCGACAGTTTCGTGGGCGGACTCTTGCGCTTAGACGACATGCTCCTGCGAGAGTAAAGAGCACAGCAGACGTTAGTGGACGTGACGTCACTTTCCCGAAACGTCTATGTCTAATAAAGTCTGGCACATCCTTGAGGAAGGAGAGGAAAGGACAGCACACGCACGTCTTGTGAAAAACGCCTCTGACACTTTTTTCTGCAGGAGGCCAATTGATACGGTTCTTCAACCTTTCTAGCACACCTCAACTTTTCTGAGCTGAAATAATGATTATTATTATCGGTTTCTTTTATAGAACCCGACTCATTTTCGCAATTGCACCACCTACTGTATTCATCAAAAAGGATACGCTTCGCAGTAAAAGTTTGTATACACGATGCCTATTGGAGCTTGCAGATCGATACGTTCTTTATATTTTACTGTTGGCGATTTTGGCCGGTTTAGTAAGCTTTATTGTCGCATTAAATGTAGAAATGCGTCCATTTATTGCGGATCTTGAAAAAGCCACTGATAAGCAGGTTTCGTTTGTCCGCCTAAGTACGCGCTCAGAATCCAGGTTGGGCGCCAATTATGGCTCGTTTTCCTTGATTCGCGTCAGCAGGACGTCTTACATTCATTTAGGTGTATCCCAAGCTTAGTCATTTTATTTATACAGAGAGTTCCCGAGAAAAGAGGATTGTGTTTTTCGGCCTGGGTAAATAAACTATGCATTGCAGTAAGTCCCAACTCAGTAGGTATGTTAAACATAACGGTTGGAATAGAACTCGAAAGTTTGAGAACATGACGTAATCGGATCAAAAGATAATTAAGAGGAGCAAAATTTCTCTATGAGCCTTTTCACTGATATACAGCCCGCAAGGGTCCACCATGTCAGTTCTTGTTTTCACGATAGTAGGCTTAGGTGGACGTCGGCTCATTGCGAAATTTAGTCCTACTTAATTATCTTTTGATCCAGGTGCGAGTCATGTTCTCAAACTTTCGCGTTTTATCCCAACCACTGGAGTGGCATCTTCCAGGGGTTTGAGCTGTCTGCGATGTATAGTTTATTTGCCTGGGCTAAAAAAAAACAACAACAACAAAAAAACACGGTTCTCTTTTCTGAATAACTTCCTGTATATTAAGACATGGAACCTCTCTGGCACGCATTCCGCAACCAAACAAAATTAGTCTTATAGTTCAAAACGTCGTTTCGATTTGCACATGTTTTAAAGCAATGTCAACGCGAGTCAAGCCCCGCAATGCAGAGCGTGGAACGATACCGCAGCGTCTCTGAAACGCCTGAAAGTTTCTGAGCACGTAGGAAAACTGCGAAACGAAGTAAACGCAGCAGGTGAAGCAGCAAGCTGTAAAGGACGGCGAAAGTGCAAAGTATTCGAGCAAACTTCGCGGCGACGCTTTGCTCTCTCCCTGTTTGCTAACGAGGCTAATCTTTGCGGTCAGTCGTCCGAAAGTTTTCCACGCGGAGCGAAAAACGGGGAGAAAATAAAATAAAAAAACAAACATTGTAACTGGATGTGGGAGGGAGAAAAGTAGACGGGGCTATAGAAATAACCTCCGCGACATGTTTACCGCAGCAGACGTATGACCACCCGGCGCAATATGCGACCATTTTCGTTTTGTGTCACGTGAGTATTCTCTTCCACGTAGTGTGGGCGCCGCCTATTGTGCACACCCATCCCCCATTTCCTCGCGTCTTTGCGTGGTAACTTTTCACTTTTCTGCGAGGAGTAAACATCAGCGACTGTTTGTTTCCAAATCATATACACCCTTCCAGCGCTACCACTCGGGCGAAAAACGCCGAGTCACTGGACTGTGGACGCACAAGCGTCTGATATCCTCAGAAAAGAGCTACGGCTCACGCTCCGAAGACGCTCCAGAGCACAATGGACACATTTCGTAGCGTGTACAAGGTGATTATGGAAACGCAAAGAACTGCATTTATATCCTATGCGTACGATTGGTCTTAAAGGAAAGTGTCACATAAAACAGAGACGCCCTAAGCGCACTTTATGCGTAGCTTATCCGGACGAAGCGAAAAAGAGTGCAGCCGCGACGAAGCCACGCCGACACACGCTGGTTAGCAAGCAGAAGGGGGAAGTCGGCGAAAAGTGCTGAGCCTCGGAGGCTTTTACCGGACGCAATTTGTGACGGGGGACGCGCCACGGACGCGAGCCCAAATTATTGCGACCGCTACGTGGGGAGACCAGAAAGGAAAAAGGGGAGGAGAACATGTATAGCCTTCTTTGTACTTTCATGCACGTGTTCGACGGCTTCGCGGCGCAAAGTTTCGGAGCGGTCGGACCTGCATTCGCCCCCTGGTCCGAGCGCTTCAGCGCGCGTTACTTTTCATAATTGCTGGCGGGGAGAGTTTGTAGATCTAGCGGAGGTGGCGGTGAAAGAGCCGATCGGTCCCTGCCAGCACTTTTGCTTCTCCCCTTTTTCGGACGCAACTTCGAATGTGCTCTCGTTGCAGTTTTCGATGTTGGGGGTCCCTCCACTTGCCGTGTCGTAAGTATGACTCTGCAGTAATGCTGAGCATCGTTCATATATTGCATTTTATATAACTTATAATCTAATTTTTCTATAGGCGTGACTTTACACGAGGCACGTGGCGGTGGCCTAGAATGTCACTTCGAAACTTAAGGTACAGTTTTGCACAGTGTGAAAGATCTCATCAGTTTATGCGGCGACTCTAAGCACGCTTTGGGCCGGGGGCGCTTTAGTTTAAGGAGAGAATAGAACATACGTCCATTTATTTACTCCCCCCCCCCCCCCCCCCTATCAATGTGAGACTGGCCCAAGCGAACGCAGCACTGTCGCCTGAACCCGCCACGTCCAATCGGTCTTCCTTCGGTTATGAGACTATACACTGCTCCGCCTATACAACACTCATAATCTGTTATTTCGACCCACTGCAGTCCATCCATTATTAAATTTGAACGGTTTGGAGTTGAACTCATTGCACTGAACATCGAAGATAGGATGAAGAGAGAGAATAGGCGCCAAGGTCACTTGTCCCGTAAGTGATCATACCTGATACGATAAAATAGTTTTATTGTAATCGCGCTCTATATTCTTGCTAGGTGCAGGAGGCGAGGGCCTATTCGCGACTCCAGCAAAACGGACGCCGCCAAGCGGGAAAACCGGGAACCAGCCGGTCCAGGTCGCTCCGCGCCCCTCCGCGTCTCTGGTGGCTTTCGCGGAGACGTGTTGTCGGCGCGGTGGCGAACAATGTAATTTGACGAAGGTCCGAATATTTCTTAAGTTCGTCTGAGTGATCATTAGTGTGGTGAAGCCTCAGTAGATTGTTTTCTTCTATTACGTGTTTGAAAGCCCGTTTACTCCACAGCACACGGTCGCGTCCTTTCGATTTCTTGGATAAGGAGGAATCACGGAAAAACTTTTTGATTTCTTGTCTGTCTCGAATCACATTCAAAGTGACGACTGCTTGGTAACTGATACTGGAGGGAACATCAATGTTGCAGTCAAGTGAATGGGGAGGTTCGATAGCTGCTTTTCTTGAGTTTGGTTGTGTTTGGTTAGCTTCAAGTTTAAGCCACCCACGCCGGTCGGTGCGTTGGCTATTCATCTTGGCTGCTTTTCGCCGAAAAAGCCTCTGGAACACACTGAAGGAGTTGGGCTGATTTCGCAATTACTTGATTCAGGAAAATTTGCTCGCTGCAAATGATGAATGAGGGAAATTATATGTTTTCAAAAGGTGGGAGACAAGTCTCGCAACGTTAGATGCTGTCACGGCATTTTGACTTATCGCGCCTCCAATATTTATATTACGAGGACGTCGATGCCAGCAGCAATATACATCTACATTGGTCAGGTGAACCGGCCACAAAAAAATATACTCATTGTCTCCGTTCAGAATTCGAAGCAAAGTTCAATGCAGAGAGGTTCTGCGTGGATCTTCAATGAAGACTCTCTTCAGTTTGTCTCCGTGCTGCCGGCTATAGAACCATTTGGCTAAGTTTAAGTAGTACGTCTCCGTCTGTCCAATATACTTTTATTCAGCAGCTCACCTAATAGCTAGTCAACTAAGCTCATATTTCAACCCGAAGGATATACTATCCTTCGGGTAGTATACCCTTATATACACTAAAGCGATATATAATATCGCTTTAGTGGGACCCCCCCCCCCCCCCCCCCCCCCCCTTAGTACGTAATATAACACATAACCCGCTCGGGCAAAATGACTTCTCGATTGCTACTAAAACCTGAATTGAAATACGAGTATCAGCTGCTTAGTGGGGCGCCGGCGGGTTAACATGGTCCTTGGCTCAAGAAGCGGTTGCTTAATTTTCGTAATTTTTCTGCAGCCTGTGTTGTTGGTCGAGCAGGCGACTGGAGTTGTTTCGTAATGCGGATACGCACAAAAGCTCGATTTCGCGGACAGATAAGTCGCATGGTCGAGGCATGCGAGTTAGCTGAAAAGTTACTCTCTGTGGAACAATTCTATAGTCATCGCCGCTTTCCTTAGATGATCAAAACTGATTAGTATATTACCGTCTCTCCGGAGCCCATAGTTTCGGTTTTGAACGAAATCTCCGAAACGAAAGTTTGACACGAAAAGAGCAAAAAAACACCGGCAAAACAAAACTATGCTTTGCAAGTTTATCTGCACCGGCTACACTTAACCGTCTCAGTTCAAATACCTATAAAATTGGGCATTAAACAAAAGAAAATCTGTTAAATTGAACGCGCCACCTGTTCAGGCGGCCCTGCCGAGCCGGCGCGACCTGGACTCAGCCGCCATGTTTGTTTGGTGGTGGCGCCCCCTATAGGTCGCTGGAGTCGCGAATAAACTCGTAAAACAAAGTTGGGGCCGCAGTTGACGGAACGCACCGATTGGTCTATCAAGGCGATGACTTCGCGCTTTTTTTCGCCGACGTCCAATCGGCACGTTCCGCGAACTTTCGGCTCCAACTTTGTGTTTGATGAGTTTAGAGCCTCGGCTCATCGTTAAAAAGGAATGCATGCTACGGAGCGGGTGCGCTGTGACATCTTTCAAAAGTCCATCATGCAACAATCTACACTGT